CCTTCGGTCGCCGAGTCTGGATACGTCTCGGAACGTTCAGCTCCTTCTACGCGACGAGGTTGTTGATGGTGTCGATCAGCGCACTGGTCCTAGTAGTGTTGTTGACCGCGGGCCGGTCGGTCGCCCGCCCTCGTCTTCCGATCACGTCGGTCGAGCGTCTTCTCGACCCCTACGTACAGGGTCTTGTCCAGCTGTCGCATCCTTCCGGACGAGCTGGCTGCGCTGGGCGGTTGCTCCATGCCGGCATCCTTGATAGCTTGCCAGTCCTCTGGCTGCAACTGGATTGCGGGGCGACCCGCGGCGCTCGCGGTGAGCTTCTGGGCGGCGTTCCCGATGCGGAACTGGCCCTGCCAGAGAGAGATGTCGATCTTGGAAGGCTGGATGAAATCGCGGCCGGTGAGCAGGCCCAGCGCGGGGCTGTCCACGAAGCTGAACACGACGCGGCCAGCCTGGCCGCACAGCACAAGCCGCGCGGTGACGCGCAGCTTGCTCGGGAGGGCACCTCCGTTGCCGAACCCGTAGACCTCGTCCTCCGGATCTTCGAGGATCTGGCCGGCAAGCCCCATCCTCGTGAGGATGTCCTTGCAGTTGTCGTACCACTCCTTGCCCGAGACGCAGAAAGGGCAGGCGGCGTCGACCACGCCGACGCCTTCGTCCAAAGGCTTGTCGCTGCCGATCGCGACGTTCACGTTCGGCAGGTGGTGGATGAGACGCTCCGAGACACAAGTCTCTGGGGGCGGAGTGACTGGCCCCTGCGGGTGCAGGGCGATCTCCTCGTCCGCGAACTGGACCTGCTCGGTGATGCGCGCCTGGCGCTGAGGACGGCCACCGCGACCTCCTCGCCCACCGCCCTTTGACATGCCGTCCGTGGGCGCGAACTTGCGAGCACCTGGCGCGGGGCACTCCTTGCCCCCTGTCCAGCGCCCGGTCTCGCCGCAGCCCCAGCAAGAAGCGCTCCTCTTGCGCTGGTCGACCCGGCCCTGTAGCTTGGCCGGGGAGCGGGGCGGCGCGGGCCTTGACTTGCCGCGGCCCTTGAGGGCCTCCCGGGCCGATCTGATGGTGGCCATGGCCTCGGGAATAGCGGCGAGTTCCGCTGCGGCAGCTTCGACCTCGGCAGAGTCGCCGCCGTCGAACAGCTCGGAGATGTCGACGTTGGAGGACTCGAGCTCGGCGCTGAAAGCCTCGAGCTCCTGGCGAGCGATGTCCTGGACGTCGGTATTGCCCTCGTCGTCCCCCACTTGCTCTTCGTCGTTCTCGTCGCCCGGCTCGTCGACGACGTCGGCAGCGCGCCCCCCGCGGCTGGAGGAAACGTTGCTGCGCCAGCCGCCTCGCGAGCGCGACTGATTGGCCCATGACCTCGGCGGGGGGGCGCGGCGCTCCGACGCGCGGGTGTCCGGGAACATTCTGACCAGCAGCCCGCGGACGCGCTGGCAGCCGCAGCGCTCGTCGGGGAGGTTGCCCACGACACGCTCGCGGCGCTCTGCCGTGAGCCCAGCCTTGCGCGGCAGGAACCATCCCGCCACGTCGTCCAGCGCGTTGAGGCCCACCTCATTCTCGCGTCGCTGCTGCAGTCCAGTCTCGAACCGGATGAGCCAATCCGTCACGCGTTCACCTCTTCGTCGATGATGCTGAGTCGACTCGAAGAACTTCTCGAGGGCCTCGCCCTTGCGCACAGGCTTCTGCTGACCCAAACTAGCCTCCAGGTTGTAGCACGTTCTCTATGCCGACCTGGTTCCTATTGCGCTTCTTGTCATCGGGGTCTTCGATGTCCGCCGCGGCTGCCGGGCGCAGCTGCGCCTCCGCCATATTCAATGCTGCGCCGAGGGCAGTCCCACTTAGCTTCAGCACGAGCTTCGATGCGAGGCTGCGGGCCACGGCGAGGTTCTCACTGAGCTCCCCGAGCTTGGCCTCCTGCATGTAATATCTCCACTTTGCCGGGTCGCCATTCCATGTAGGGATGGTGTTGCACGCATAATTATCCGTCATTATGACAAGAATGAGGTAGCGAGCCGCGTCGCTGACACTGGCGCCAAAAGAGAAATAGGCGTTGACGCTGGCGTCGCCGACGCTGGCGTAGGAGAAGTAGGCGTAGATGCTGGCGTCGCTGACGCTGGCGTTGGAGAAATCGGCGTTGATGCTTGCGGCGTCGACGCTGCCGTAGGAGAAGCAGGCGCCGATGCTTGCGTCGCTGACGCTGGCCTCGGAGAAGTAGGCGAAGTAGTCGTTGATGACGGCGTCGCTGACGCTATCGTGAGAGAAGTAGGCATTGATGTCGGCGTCGCTGACGCTGACGTGCGGGAAGTAGGCGTTGGTGACGGCGTCGCTGACGCTGTCGGAGAAGTAGGCGCGGGTGAAGGCGTCGCTGACGCTGTCGTAGGAGTTGGCAAAGTAGGCGTAGATGTCGGCGTCGCTGACGCGGACATGGATGATGTTAGCGTCGCTGACGCTGGAGAGGGCGCTGAGCAACAGCGCGACCAGGCTGGTCAGGAAGCCGCTGGGCTTCGATGAAGGAAGGCGCGTCGCAGACGCCGTCTTGCAGGATGTACGACGCGCAACGCCGGGATAGCGGAACGGCCTCGCTCCAAGCTGCCCCTGCGATATAGATCGGCGCGCAGCGCCGGGGATGCTTTTGCGGTGAGCGCGGCTCGAACAACTGGCGTAGCACTAAGGCCAAGGGCCCTGAGACATAAAAATGGCAGCGGCGAGCAAGGAATGAAACCGCAGGCCCCTCGAGGCTTCTGGGGAAGCCCTCTCGGGCCTCTTACATTCCTGGGGAGTAAGCTTGACTCATAACCTTAACCATGCAGCCCGCAGTAAACTTGGCGGGCAGGGAGAGGGCCCGAGCTCAACCTTCGTAGCGGCCACCACGTCGTGCGGCTCCTGTTCACTACGGCACTCGCACATCATACGGTCCGCTATTGAACGGGATTGCCAGCAGCAGGGACCAGCGGAGAGTCGATCCCCAGCTCAGCCAGCACGGCGTTCCATTGCGCACGATCCGCACCAGCACGATCAGTAAAGAAATATTTCAGAACACCCACGGGCTCCCGACGGCCACAATTGGGCTCCAGAACCCTCGCAGGCGTCAGGAGCTCACCAGTATAACATACCACGTCAGGAACAAGGATAAACTCTTTGGAATCCAACTTGCGGGGGGGGGCGGCGGAATCGCAAGGAGTTTATCGCACGTTCTGGACGCATTCGAAGGTGGGCCCTACCAGCTGCTTCTTCATCAAGGGTCGTTACCATGGAGCCAAGGAGCATCAGGCCCCAAACCACGCTGGCGCTCACGACCCCAAGGCGGTCCACCGCGGCAAACACCAGCTCCATCGTCGTCACCCTCACCTGGAGAACCAGCATCAAGAGGTCGGGAACCATCGCCCAGAGCAACGCAAGGGATGTCCATCCACAACTGAGTGATAGAAGTACCATATGTGTGAGGATGCCCGCAGGCCAAGGAGATGACGGCGTCGAGCGAGCCCGCGATGGTGTCGATGAAGGTACCGACCATGCATTGCTGGGACAGGTTGGGCTGTCCAGCGGACGCCGCACCAACGATTAACGCGAGCTTCACCTTCGTCGCATGTACGGCATGGACGATAACGATGTGGATGGGCCGAACGTGCGACTGCCGCCTGAGCCAAAGCAAGCGTGCGCGAACCACCATCGCGGGATGCAGCAGGGGAACTGGCGAGGGGGTAGCGCAGGTGCACCAAGAAAGCCGCTCCCTGAGCAAATGCTCGATCGAAACGGCTTGGGAGGAGGCACAGCGTTGCGGTGGGAGGTGGAGGGGGAAATGAAAGAGGGGAAGGAAAACAAGGATGCGGAGGAGCAGGAGGAGGAAGAGGAGGAGGAGGAGGAGGAGGAGGAGGAGGAGGAGGAGGATGGCGAACCATCGTGGCACTATCATGCGCTGCACAAGGAAGAATTACACATTCGGTCTGCGCCAGCTAAAAGCAGGGTGCTCGCGCTGCGTCCCGTAGCTGGCACGTTCCACCACCTGCGTTGTCCAGAAACGCTGAGGAAAAGGATGAGAGCTGGGACGCGGCCGCAGAGGGGCAGCACAGCCATAGTAGCCGCAGAGACCCCTGTAACAAGCGCGCGCCACGCGCGAGCGGGTCTGAGGGGCAACGGTATGGGGGGGGGCAGCCTGGGGGGAAACATCGAGCTTGAATCGGCGGTACATCGCCGATAAATCAGTGATAGGCCGCCGAAAGCGACTCTGCACGGTCATGGGCGGGGCTGGGCTATCGAGCCCCCCATCGGCGATCAGTGGGCGACTGGGACCGATGCCAGAGGCATCCCAAATGGGAACCGAGTAGATAGAGTCGGAGGATCGCGCCGAATTGGCAACGCATCGCCACATGCATCGCCGATGCATCGGCGATGCCGCGGAGACGTCGGCGATGCATTCGCGACGTCGTCGCGGAAAAAATCGGGCCCCACATCATGCCGCATCGCCGATGCATCGGCGATGCGGCGCGATCCTCCGACCATATCCACCAGAGGCCTCCTAGATGGGGTCCGAGTAGATAGGGTCATAGGGTCGGAACATCGACCGCATCGCCGACGAACGCCGATGCATCGGCGATGCATCAGCGACGTCGGCGAAGAGAGAACCGGGCCCCACATTGAGCTGCGTCGCTGATGCATCAGTGGTGCTGCGCGATCCTCCAGCCACCACTTACTCAGACCCAATCTGGTAGGCCTAGATCCGCTCCGACCCCATCTGGGAACCCCAAAGCTGCATCTCACCCCCTGAGCCTACAGCCGAACATATGAACAAGAAAAACAGCATTTAAGAGATCTGGGCCAGCTCCCAGGAAGCTTCTTGAAACAAGCCTAAGCCAGATTCTCCTGTTGACGCTGGAGGGACAAACGTGCCTCAGAAACTGGGCCAACTTCCCTGCAAATCGTCTAAGAAGAGGTGTCCATGTGCTCGACCGCAACATCCCCACTGACGTTGCCCCTTAACAAGGACGCGTCGCGCGGTGGCTCCCCGTGGCCGGGAACAACCAGGTTGAAACTAAAAACAAAAAACGTGCCAAGGCAGGCATAATACC